CACCTTTCTATTCTGTTCACTGTTTAGGGGAAAGTAACCCTGGTGGGTGAGTAACCCTGCTGGTGTAAGCAATTGAAGTACTTGACTCTTAACCAATGGTGGTGCTTTTGTGTGTGTGTATGTTTGTGTGTGTGTGTTGGTGTCTGTTTTTAACTTAGGTTTCTCTGATTATCAAAGTCAAGCTATTTCATTATCCTGCCATATAATGAATGCATATATGTTCTTTCTTATAAGCATCAGGATTTTAAAGAATAATGCACCTTTAGAACTCATTAACAGTATAGGGAAAATAAGATAATTGTGTTAATTAGCTCATTGTCTCTCTTACTTTGCTTTTGTTGGAGAAAAACTTGATTTTATTTTGCCTGTATTCTTGCAGATGAACTTGAGATGCTTTCTGAAGCTAGAGCCCGCCTGGCTAACACTCAGGGGAAGAAGGCCAAGAGGAAAGCAAGAGAGAAACAGTTAGAAGAAGCAAGGTATGATTGGTTGGTGGTTTTTTATCTTGTAAGACATTGCAGGGGTAATACCAGCTATGTTGTGTGTTATAGGCATAGAAAAGGTTCCTTCGTTGTAGCCATCTAGGGAGTCTGGTGGCTGGAGGACACTTGATGCTATGTCGCTTCTACATGTCTGCCAATTGACTACTCTCCTGATTAATATTGAGTAGGCTTTGGCTGTGAAATGGGAAACTAAGCTGAATGTGGAGGGAGTTAATGAGCCTTGGATTCAATTTTAAGCCTTCACAGAAATTTATTTTCCTTTAACAAGTCAGTAAAAATTGTTACTGCCCTTTGTCCAAAGTTTTCTCCACATTCTCATTCTTTTTTCTTTTCAGTTAGATCCATTATTGACATCATCTGTAATGGTCCCGGTGGCCAGATGCATAGGTAAAAGGAAAGCCTCAACTCTATAGCAGTGTATTGACTGCTGCTGTTCAGGCACTGGAATAACGTCCCTGATTTGTGTAGCTGCCTTTTGTACTACTCAGCTTGGGAAGTACTTCCCGACCTGGATGAGCATTGCATGGATGGTTTTCCAGTGATGACTTTAAAGTACTAGATCCTGGCATGGAACATTCCTTCATGCTTGATGATTGTTGGCATGACTGGTCTATCACTATCCTAGAGTAGGTGCTTGTGGTGAGAGTATAACTGGTCTGGGACAGTAAAAGAAACTTAAGTTCTATCCAGTCGCAGCCACCTTTCTATTCTGTTCACTGTTTAGGGGAAAGTAACCCTGGTGGGTGAGTAACCCTGCTGGTGTAAGCAATTGAAGTACTTGACTCTTAACCAGAAAGCCGGGAGTTCGGGTCTACCAGGTACTCTGTGGGAGAAAGATGTGGCAGTTTGCTTCCACGAAGAGTTAAAGCCTTGGAAACCTTATGGGTCACTTCTTGTCTTGATGGGTTTGCCATGAGTTGGAACTGACCTGATAAGAGTTGATAGCTCTTATGGTGTAACTGTTACAGTGGGCTTCTAACCAGAAGGTTGCTATTTACAATCTGTCAAGTGACTCAGTGGTTGAAAAGCCTGATGATTGCCTCCCATAAGGGTGATCATCTAGAAAGATTTACAGAGAATTCTGTGGGACATTGTCACATGGGGTTGCCATGAATTGAAATCAGCTTGATGGCACCTAACAGTGTAAGCTTGGAAAATCTGCTTTTTCATTTTATCTGTGATTTGGAAACCATATTTTTAGAATCTTTTAATCACTTAGACTGTACCCAGGGATATGACAGATGCATATATGAAATATTTCCCAAGTGTAACTGGTGTAAATAGTCTTGACTAAATTTGAAAGATTTTAATAGATCCTACAATTTCTTGTAGCTTAAAGATGTAACAGATACATTAAATTAATGCACTCAATTGGTTGTGCTGTATGTAAATTTTATGGTAGGGTTGTTGGTATGTACCATTGAGTTGGAGCTTATCCATAACTGACCCTCCAGTGAGTTTTCAGAGCCAGTAAATTGCACAGGAGATTGCACATCTTTCACTTGTGGAGCAGTTCCTGGATTTAAACCACGTACCTTTGCATTGACAGCACAATTTCTTACCACTTAACCACAAGATTCACTTACACAAAATACAGATGTGAAACTGAGCCACTTACTTTTGATGTTAAATTATAGATATCTTGTTTTTTTTTTTAAACTTTTATACCATTTTCACTGATTATAAAGGTAATACTCCTTTCATTTAATTTTTCTATTTTCTTTTTGGGGTATGGTTGATACTATACTATATATGCTCTTTGTATTCAGTTAGCATTATGTTACAAAGGTTTGCTAATGTTGTTTGAAGTCTTCCACCCTCCCTTGTTGTTATGTGCCATCGAGTCGCTTGCGACTCATAGCGACCCTGTGTACAACAGCCCTAAACTCTGTTCTGTCTTGAGCCAATCGCACTGTCTCCGACACTCCCATCCTTTTAATCCCAGTCATGTAATCAATCCACTTCATAGAGGGCCTTCCCCTCCTGCACCGTCCCTCCACCCTCCCAAGCATGATGTCCCTCTCCAAGGACCGGTCTCTCCTCACAATATGTCCAAAGTATGTTAGACGGAGCCTCAGAATCCTTGCCTCCTTGGAGCCACCCAGTTTAAACCTTTCCAGGACAAATCTGTTTTCCTAGCAGTCCATGGTATTCTCAATACTCTTCTCCAGCACCACAGCTCAAAGGCATCAATTCTCCTTCTATCCTCTTTGGTCATTGTCCAACTCTCTGATGCATAACAAGTGTTTGTGAAGACCATGGCCTGTATCAAACGCACTTTAGTCTCCAGAGAGACACCATTGCTCTTCAGTACTTTGGAGAGGTCCCTAACAGCAGACTTTCCCATGACAATGCGCCTTTTAATTTCCTGGCTACTGGTGCCAAGAGTGTAGACTGTGGAGCCAAGCAAACTAAAGCTGTGTACAATCTGTCTGTCTGATGTCTGTTAAGACAGGCTAGGAAGAAGGATTGGCCATCCACTTCTGAAATAGCAGGACTTTGAAAACCCTATGTACAACTCCCTTACTTAACAAATGAAATTAACATCTTCAGATATTTTCTTCCAAACTTAGTGTGTATGCATATCTAGGTGCATGTATTTATACACAGCCTCACACATGCCAGTATTTATACAGAATTGGATAATACTGTTTTGATGAAAAGTCAGTTGTCCTTTTGACTTTGGTTCCCTTGTAAGTGAGGGATATTTTTCTCTTGCTGCTTTTGAGATTTTCTTCTTTTCTCTGAAGTCAAGCGTTTTTATTATAGTGTGTCTTTTGGGATCTTTTTTATATTTATATTGCTTGGAGTTCATTGATCTTCCTGGAGGTTGGATTAATGATTTGCAGCAGATTTGGGAAATTTTGAGACTTTTTTTCAGGTGTTTTTCTTGCTTTTTCTCACCTCTTTTCTAGTATGCCCAGTATGCTTATGTTGGTTTACTTAATGATGCTCCATGTTTTACTGAGTCTGTTCATAACTGTTATTAATTTTTCTATTCTCCAGGATAAATGTAATCTGTCTTTAAATTTTCTAATTGTTTCTGTTAATCCCTCTAGTGAAATTTTCACTTACTGCACATTTGATTACTTTTAAGTAAGTTTCTGTTGACACCCCCTCCCACCCCAAGTGTTTGTCATCCTTATTTATTTGCATGTTTAACGTTTTATACTTTCTGGAACTCTAGAGAGTGCTTCCTACTCAGAGCTTTTAATTGTTATTTATTTAGTGACTGGCAGTGTTATTTCAGTGCCTTCTAGTCTCTTCTCCCTCATCTCCCACCTTCCTCACAATATGAAGGTGTTGGTCCTCCCAGGGCACAGTTTTGGGAATGCCCACAGGCACACTGGTTTTTTACAGAATTTGGTCTCTTTGACCATACTTAATTACTAATTGCCTGCTCATTGCTGTATTGCTTTCAGTAGTGCCCTGGGACACAAATTACTCCACAAATTGATCTCATAAAATTTTAACTCCTTAGAATAGATAGTTCCAGAGGCTAGTGTGTGAAATTTGTTCTGCTCTCAGGAGGGTTCCTCTTAGCTCCCCTTTTCCCTGTTCTCTCTGGCACACTAGCTTACTAGTAGCATATAAGTTGGTCTGCCTCACTAGGAATTTATCAGCTTTCTTGTAATTACCTTCAGCACAACTTCTGCTGTGTTTGAGAATCCTGGTAGGCTTAAACTTTATCCTGTTGCAAATGAAATAAAAACCGTTTGGGGAAAGATTTTGAACTTTGTGTTTCTCTCCTTCCTTACTGCTCAACTTTGGTGTAGGGGAGCAGGAAGAACATGAAGTTCTCTTCTGAGTGATATTCCTTCTTGGGACTCACATTGTGGTATCAGGGAGGGGACACACAGTAGCCTCAAGTCTCCTTCACTTTCCTTTTCTGGTGTAGAACCTCTGCCCCACAAGCCAGGACAAGGATTCATTGGGACTCCAATATTTTCAGTGGTATCCTGCCAAGTTTAAACCTCTGTCCAAGGAATTTAGGCAGGTGGAAGAAGGGAACTCCAGCTTCTGGCCACACTTTTTTAACCATGGCCTCAGCAGCAGAAAGCTGGAGGCATTATAAGAAATGTTGATATCTTGCCCTTACTAGAAAGATGGCTTTCCAAGTGCAGAGTGCTGTCAGCCCATCTTGTTGAAGGTCTTTGTTTCCACTGATTCTCTTTTCCAAGCAGATTGTCCTTTTCAAGGGACGGGCCATTCCTGATAACATGTGTAAGATCTGTGAGATGAAATCACACAACCCTTGCTTACCAGGGGCACTCTGGCTGCGTTTATTTCTAAGACAGATTTTTTTTTACAATCCATTCAGTATTCTTTGGTCACACTACAGTTCAAAGGCAGCAGTTCTTCAGTCTGTCTTATTAATTTTCCAACTTTGACATACATACAAAGAATTGAAAATACCATGGCTTACACCTTAGTCTTTAAACTGACGTCTTTCTCTTTAGTGCTTTAAAGAGATCATTGGCCGCAGGTCTGCCCAATGCACTACATCATTAGGTTGCTTAGCTAAGTTCTTGTTGGATATTTAGATTATGTGCAACTATTTTTACAGTGCACCATGAACAGCCTTGTAACCAAACTCTCTTTTATACTGGTTTATTTATAAAGTTTGAATACATTGTTTTTCACACCTGATCTTGCCCATTTTCTTTATCCATCTCTCCTTCTACCCATCGAATTGTGCGACCCTATGATTAACGCTCCCCCCACCCTGCCTGTCCTCACCACTCTGCTTTCACCTTCCGCTCCCATGGATCCTCAGTCATTCTGCAGTATAATGGTCTTATACAGTATTTGTCCTTGTGAGACTGAGTTCACTTAGCATAATTCTCTCCACTCTTTCTCAGGTTAGATTGATTTACAACATCATTGCTCCTGCATGCTGCATAGTATTTCATTGTGTAAATGTACCATAATTTCTCAACCCATTCAATTGTGGTTGGACATTAGGGTCATTTCCT